ATCATAGTGGTTTAAAAAATGAGATAGCTTATTTTTGAGTATAATTCTTCCAAAATGCAGATAATTTGCTAAAAATATAATGTAACATATATAAAATTGATGTAATTTTGACAAAATACTAAATTATGACCTATTATTAAAATTATTATCAATTTGCTAAAACTAAAAGTCAGACTTTAGGCCAAATTTTTGACTTTTTGCTAAAGTGAAAGTATGACCTATATGAGAGATGTCTGGAGTTCTAGTTTTCTTAACCCAAATCCATAATTCCACCATTACTTAACCTATTTTTATCTACAATTAATTCAAACAAGATTACCTTATAGACAATTAATTCGTAGATATGTTTGTTTTATAAATAGGTTATTTCACTGAAAGATCTGTGAAAATAAACTTGTTGGTAAAATAGGGTGTCTATAAAGTGATTGTCTGTGAAGTAAACAGCACCACTTAATGCTTAAGCCTAATCCTAATATTAAATAAGAAACTTGCCCTAATTCTACTCTGCAAATAGGAGTACTTGAAAAAGGTAAATTTGATATGGCTTTGCATAATCTAATCATGGTTAATAAAAAAAAAATTCAGTTTGTTAAAATAAAATTATTTTCACCTCAATGCTAACAATAAAAGAATAAGCTATATTAGTACTTACTTTAATCTTTTAAAAATATTTGGAGTTTAAATTTTATATAGCAACAAATAATTTAAATAAAAAAAAAGAACTAAATTATTTTACATATAGCTTAACACAAAATAAACTATGCTATTCTCAGTATTTATCTAAATTAATATAAATGCATTATACATATGTCTTGCACGATCTAAATTCAAAAAACAAAAATTAGTATCTATACATATGTTCGTAGACCTTCGGCCTGTGAACTGCTATTTTTACCTAATTAAATCCTAGCAAAAGTACCTTGCTAAAAGATGAGTTATGCATCATACGAGCTTAACTTTATATAACCTCTTATTTAACCTGCATAATCTAACCATATTTAAAAAAAAAAATAAGTTTGTTAATAAAATTATTTTTACCTCAATACTAACAATGAAAGAATAAGCTATGTTAGTACTTACCCTAATCTTTTAAAAATGTTTAGAGTTCAAATTTTATATGCCAATAAATAATCTAAATAAAAAAAAAGAACTAAATTATTTTACATATAGTGTTAACACAAAATAAACTATGCCATTCTCAATATTTACCTAAATTAATATAAATGCATTATATATACATCTTGTATAATCTAAATTTAAAAAACAAAAATTAGTATCTATATATATGTTTGCAGACCTTTGGCCTGCAAACTTCTATTTTACCTAATCAAATCCTAGCAAAAGAATCTTGCTAAAAGATAAGTCATACATTGTTCAAAAAAAAAAAAATTAGCATCTATATATATGTTCGCAGACCTTTGGCCTGTGAACTTCTATTTTATCTAATCAAATTCTAGCAAAAGAACCTTGCTAGAAGATGGGTCATGCATCATACAAGCTTAACCTTATATTATCTTTTACTTAACCTACCTAATTCTAATCTTCAAATGAACTGACTAAAGTTTTGCCTTATTAATTCTAGTACTAAATAAATTAAAATTTTAGGTTAAAGTAGATATCTTGAGTAATATTAAATTACAATATAATTTAGGCATTCTCAAGTACTTTTCTCAATGAAATCAATAAAAAATCTGATTAGTCTATTAAATAAGACAGGCCAATCAAATTATTTATCAAATTTATTAAAAAAGATGCTTCTCATACTTCATAAGTCATCATTAATTCTTTGTTTAAATTTGAGCATTAATTTGCTATATCAATTTGAGATTATTACATATTATACAGTACAAGAGTAAATAATATACTATATTAGCTATTTTGTTAGAGCAATTTCGCTTATCATGTTTCTTGCTTTTACAAATACTGCATTGACAAGAAGTACGAGACGAAGTATATTTATGTTTTTTTGGTTTTTCAATTGCTGATTTTATATACTTTTTAGAGAGGCACACTTTTTTAATATATTTAAGTGGGTTTTGAATGTCTAATTGTGTAGTTTTAATATCTTGATCATTCTCTATATCTTAATTATTCTCTATATCTTGATTATTCTCTATATCTTGATTATTTTCTATATCTTAATTATTCTCTATATCTTGATTACTTTTTGTATCCTGATTACTCTTTATACCTTGATCACTTTCTACAATTTGGTTGTTGTCTAGTTTCTGTTCTATAATTTGTTTGCTGTATTGTGCTTCCTTATGGATATGTATCCATTCCTTAAATGTTTCTATCAAAATTGTTAAATTATTTAAATCATTGTAATTAACTATTTCTATACATTTATAGGCAAGTCCAAGCAATGTTTCTTTAATCAATTGTTTATGGCCAATTGCTTTTGCTATAGCTTGTACAGGAGCTTCAATAAGCATAGCATTTTATGAATTAGCAATATTTGGAAAAGAAGATAAAAAAGGTGTTGAACTGTTCTTTTCTAATGACTTTCTTCTAAGAAATAGCTTATCAACAACCACTGCATCCATAAATTTATCTTTGTACCAACATCTTGAAATGAGAGAAATATAAAAATAAGCTTTTTCAGACTGTAAAAGAACACAAAACCAATAACGGCAGATCACTCCACTATCAAATAATAAGATGCATGTGCATAAATAAAATCTATTTTTTAACAGCACTACATTTTGTTCAACATTCGATTTATGCTCTATTGATTGAACTTCCCAAATCTCAACAACTAAGGAATGATCGATTTCCTCAAAAAGTTCATCAAAATGTATCTGATGAAAGTCATACTCAAATTTAATTAGCCTATTATCAACAATCTCCAATATTAAATTATATGGATCTCCAAAATTAATCTTTTTGCTTAATACATTACCGCCTCATTCATTTGATTAATATATAACTATAAAATTTTGGGTGTTATATATTTTTGCAAAATATTATATATATTAGGAAAAAGTCATCCAGAGGCACTTAATTACACCTTTATTGATTTAGATTGTTGTGTAGATATTATTCTTGCTGTAAAAACTCGACCTGTAAATGCTTTTGTCCAGGTTGTTTTACGTGGATCAAGCTGTCTAAGTAGATATTTAGTTGATTCTGAAAAATCAATTATAAGTTGTTTCTAGTATTTCTCAAATGTTTCTTTATATAAAATATTTTGGAAATGATAAAATACTTTGATAAAGTCTGCATAATGATCACCAAGTAGTTTTGCAAGCTGCTTTTTAATATTATATCCAATATGCTAGATACAATGAAGTAGATAGGTATCAGGGTATATTTCGGAAACAACACTTTCAAGCCCTGGATTTGCATCAATCATAAAAGTGCTAAACTGAACTTCTATAGCCTCAATTGTTTGCTATAGAACCCATTTATAACTTTTACTTGTTTCATCGGGCAATATAGCCTGTGCAACAATTCGTAATTTAAAATTATTATTTATAACAGCAAAAATGTATAATAGGAGTTTATAAAGATTGGTTGCTGCTATATTATTGTTTAAAATAATATCTGTATAATAGCGTCAAAGTTCACGTTGTTCAGGGGTTATATAGAATACATCTTGTAATTTGTTTGTTTCTGGATCAATTAATGATTGAATATACCAATCAGGGTTCTTGGTACACTCTTTTTCAAAGTGCTAAAAAAGCTTTGCAATATTATACCCCTGTATATCATGAGTACAACAAAACTTATATACATAGTTTTTTATATTATAATCTACAATTGTGGTTTCAGGAAATAATCTATAGAATAACCTAACCTGAGTTAAGACATCAATGTCACAAAAGACATAGTTTTCAATAAGCTCCTTTATTTCTGTAGTAAGTTTTTGATAGCTAGTAGCAAAACTAGTGTTTTCAGGAACCAACAGATAGTTGTGTTCAAGATTTATTGATATTAACTTAATTATAGTTTCATTATCAGAGCCCTTACTATTGCATGCATTCACCAGAAAAAGACAACCAATCCTTTTTGAACTCTTATTTCTTTGCTTTTCAGATAGAGCAGTTTTATGTAAGACATATTTACTAGACTATTTACAATCCCAAGTACACTGGTGTGAATCATAGCTATTATCTATATACTTTTTCTAATTGCAAAGTTATTTTGATGTGCATAATGTTCTAACGTCTCTTGACATTCTTCCCAAGCTCCAAATGTTTTTCTACAGTATATTTCAATGCGGATTAGAGGTAGATACTCACGTTAATAATTATTAGTATTTTCAGATGCATAATCAGATTTACTAACAATATTAATGTCTTCTTCAAGTTCAATATCAGGTTCATTTTCAGTTTCCTTTTCATATTCAGTACCAGGTTTATCTTCAGTATTCTTTTCATATTCAATACCAAGTTTGCCTTCTATATTGTTTTCAATTCCACCATATTTATCCTCAATTCCATCATCTGAACTTTCATATATTAAATGTAAAATGTTTTCTATATTAGCAAAGGGTCTTCATGCTATTGAAAAGAGTAAGTACCAAAGTAATGAATGATTTGTTGTAGAGAAAAAATAATAATATAGAATAAAGGAAACCAGAAAAGTTCTGTTTGCAAAAAAAGTTGCTTATATGAAACTTTTAGCTACCACGGCACTAATTTGGCATAATATATATATATAATATATATTACATATATATATATATATATATAAAAAGTAAGAAGGTGCAAAAAAAGTAATGCAAGAGTACAAGAGAAAATGCAAAAAGCAAAGTACAAGAGTACAAGAGAAAATGCAAGAAGTAGAAAAGAAGGATGTGAGAAAAGCAAGATAAGAGAATGTGAAAGTGCAAAAAGCAAGATTAGAGAATGAAATGTGAGATGAGAGCAGAATAACAAAAAAGAAGGTGTATTATATAGGAAGTTAACCTCTTTAAAAAATGAAAGCTGTGCAGTAAGGAAAAAAAAAGACTATTAGTGAGGCTTGTGCTTTTAATTACCCTAAAACTTGCAATTTTGTTTGTCCTAACCTTTAATACTAAACAGTAGAAAGCTAGAATAATTATGTATATACATAGTACATAACGTACAGACTATATAACTGATATACGGTGATGATCAATGACAATAATCTTATCATTCATATTAATAGTAATATATTTTAACTTTATATTACTACTTACATGTAACAATATCACATGTGTATTAATTAACTTAATCCTATAGTAATTATTATTAATAGGCAATCCACCAGTCACCTGGATAAAAAATTTTTTTTTATATATAAATTTTACTATAAGTGCAAATGCACAGCACTTCTATCTAAAACTTTTTTTATACTAAGTAAATTACTCTTCGGCTTCTAACAAAAGTTGTAGAGCTCATAAAAATGTATTTAATACTGAAA